CTACCAATTGGAGACCCTAAGAGATGGTAGATAAGTCTCTTTAATACTGAATAATGGTGTAGGAACTGAAAATGGAGACAAAGATTTTTTTTTTTTTTTTGTACAGGTGATTGAAACCAGGGGTGCTTTACTGAGCTATAGCCCGTCCTTTATATATTTTTTGAGACAAAGTTGCTGTGGCTGGCCTTGAACTTGAAATCTCCTGTCTCAGCCTCCCAAATTGCTGGGATTACAACATGAGCCACTGTGCCTTGCATGAGAGGAAGGATTTTTAGAAGTATCCAGAAGTTAGAATTGACAGGGCTTGGAAAAAAGGAGGGGAGGGACAGGTATAAGAGATATCAATTTCTGGCTCAGATTGGTGGGTAGTACCACCTTCCCTGAGACTGGGAAATATAAAGAAGGAAAGACAGTAAATTAAGTTTACCTGTGAATTTTAAGATGTTTATGGGACCTTTGGATGGGAATATACAGCTGATGGGGGCTCTTTATATGAATGTGGGGTCATCASCCATAGATGATGGTTGAAGTTATGGTAGGAGGTGTAAATGAGCCTTGAAACATGTGCACAAGGGCCAAGACCTAGTGCAGTGAATACATTAATTTTAGAGTAAGAGAATGATTAGTAGAATCAAATACTGTAGAAGGCATATAAAAACTAAAATTGACTCATCTAACTAGTGACGAGAAGACAACTGGTAGCTTTGGTTGAATGCAGTCTCACTGGAGAATTGAGGGCACAGCCAGGACTAAAGGGAATCAAAAACGGAATGAGAGTCGAGGAAGCAGGGTCTGAGGCTGTCCTCTGAAGCAGCCGGCTGTGTCCAGAAGACGGGCCTTCCTTCACTGTCATTTCCCTGTAGAACTCATTCCTTTCCACATTCCCAAGACATCTATAACTTTTGGAAGAAACTCTGTGACTTAATGTTTGTGAACGTCATAGGGACTTGCTCACAGAAAGTAAATATTTGTCAACAAAGCAATGACTCAGAGTCTGGAGCACATTCTTTCTACTTCAATCCTGAGCAAGTGTCTTGGCACATGATTACACCGTTTTCCTTCCACTCTGGTACACAGACTTGTTTTAGTTAGCTTTGTATCACTGTGACCAAAAGACCTGACAAGAACAATTAGACGAGGTAAAGTTTATTTCGGCTCAGTTTCAGAGGGTCAGTGGATGGGGGACGACTCCACAGCTCTGGGGTCAACATGAAGGAGAACATTCTGGCTCAAGGTCATGGCAGCTCAGAACTTGGCAACCAGGAAGCAGAGAGAACTCAGCTCACCATGGACAATATACAAACCCCAAAGCTATGCCCCACTGACCTACTTCCTTGTCCATACCCTACTTGCTTACTGTTACCACTTAATTAATCTATGTAAGTAGATTAATCCATCTCTCAGCTCCTAACTCTTATAATCTAATCATTTCACCTCTGAACATGCTGCAGTTTTCTCACACGTTTTGGGGGACACCTATATTTAAATCATACCAAGACTTGCAGCAACTGATGTAAGGCAAACTCCAGGAAAACATCTCAAGCTAGCACTGAGTGGAGCAAACAGAGTGCTGGAGTCTCTGGATAATCCTTGTTTTGAGGGGTACCTGGAATTTACTGATTTGTGGAATACAAAACAAGGCAAAAGTAGAGGGCTGTTTTACAAACACTGAGCAAAATAAAATCATCTTTTTATCACAGAATAGGGGTCAAGATCTTGCTCTGCCTCAGAAAGCCAAGCAGGGGGATGAATCCTATTCAAGTGAAAATGTTGTGTTCTGCATTAAGTCAGATGGAACTGGCTGGTTCTTGTACTGAACAAGGACAGCACCAAATGGCAAATGAGACAGTATGAAAGCAGGACAACAGAGTAGGGAACAGATGGTTTTGCTATTTGTACAAGCTGCTAGACTTTTCTGAGGCTTTGCTCAGGAGATAATACCCATCTTCCCAACCTCATTAAGTTCCAGGAATGGCTCCATAGTCTTCTCAACTGCCATTATTCATTACTAGAACCAAAACCATATATAAAAAACGCATGATCGACTTCAAAGCACCAAAGCATCTATAATATGCTTGGCATTATTATTTCATTTACTATCTGCCTGCAAGGTATAACTGAAGTCACTACTCACTTCTCTTGTAATTTTTCCAGAGGAAGTCTATATTTTCCTCTCTGCTTACCACACTATCTTCTCCTTGAATCTACAGTGCTTCAGATATCAGTTTTAGAGCAAGAACTTTTTAAAAAAAATCAGCATTTGTCAGAAAGACAAATGGTACCTGACTGAAAATGAATAGCACCTTCATACTTAACCAATCCAGATGGGCGCAAATCTCATGCTCTCTGGATAGCATGAAAATCCTCACAGCAAAGTACTGGGACAGATGCAAAAAAAAGGAACAGGCAATAAGTAATGAGGGCAGGAGCTGTGTTAAGTTGTGCACTGGRCTATCAATTGGCATGTAAAAATGACTGTTACAGCAAGAGGTGATAAATACAATGTTAAACAGAAAAAAGAAAAGCTAAAAAACAAAACATTTTGTTATCTTGTACTTAAGCTTTCAAGTTACATCAAATGTTAACATAAAAATGGGAATATTTTAGGATTTTGATTATATCTTAATTTCTTTGCTATTCCAAAGAATAGTCATTTCATTAGAAAATCAATGGCATGAGTTTGGTTATTTTTTTTTTTTTCATTCACATGCTGATAACATGGATGATACAACCTTTAGCAGTGTGATTATAAGTACTTTTGGGAATATTGTAAACCAAATTTAGAGGCCTGGGATTTAGCTCAGTGGTAAAGCGTTTGTCTAGCACGCATGAGGCCCTAGATGTGATTGCTAGCACTACAAAAAATAAAGAAAAAAAGACAAGGATGTGGGGCTGGGGATGTGGCTCAAGCGGTAGCGCGCCATGCCTGGCATGCGTGCGGCCCGGGTTCGATCCTCAGCACCACATACCAACAAAGATGTTGTGTCCGCCGAGAACTAAAAAAAAAAAATAAAAAATTCTCTCTCTCTCTCTCTCCTCTCTCACTCTCTCTTTAAAAAAAAAAAAAAAGACAAGGATGTGCCCAGTAATAGCAATCACCCTTCACAACTGAAGGAATCAAACAGATACTTCAAAGGTACTCCTAGCTGTGCAAAGGWATGAACTCTTCCTCACATCAGGGCAATAAAAATGCTGATTAATTCAGTTTCATTTGAAGATTTATTTTTGTGGTACTACGAATTGAACCCAGGGTGCTCTACCACCAAGTTACATGCCCAGCCCTTTTCAAAACAGTATCTCATTAAGTTGCTAGCCTCCTGTCTCAGCCTTGCTGGGATTATAGATGTAGGGCACCATGCATGGCTGAAGATTTTAGTGACTTTTCCCAAATGAGAAAATTATTTTATTATATATCTTTTAAAACATTTTATTTTTTGGTAAAACAATTTTAGAATAGGAAAAAAAGGGCCAGGGATGTGGCTCACTGGTAAAGCCCTTGCCTAGCAATGCGTGAGGCACTGGGTTCGATCCCTGGAACCACACAAAAATAAACAAATAAAATAAAGGTATTGTGTCCATCTACAACTAAAAAAACATTAAAAAAGAAAAACAATGTACTTTTTTTTGAATCAAAATATTGCTTTCTATGATCATAGATAGTGCCAAGTTTGCTGAAGAATGCTACATACGGAAAAAATTTATTAAAGAAGCAAACTGGGGCTGGAGATGTGGCTCAGCGGTAGCGCGCTCGCCTGGCATGTGCGCGGCCCGGGTTCGATCCTCAGCACCACATACAAACAAAGATGTGTCTGCCGATAACTAAAAAATAAAATATTAAAAAAAAATTAAAAAAAAAAAAAAAGAAGCAAACTGCATTGGATAAACCATTCTTCACTTCATTTCCCTTTTTCACCTGACCTCACCACAGAGTACCTTTCAAAGCATCTAATAAAACTCAACTTACGTATATAAGATGATCTACAGTATTTCCTGCACTGACATTATTTTTGGGAGGAGTCCTTGCTTCRAATTCATTTTGAATGAGACATCAGGCAAGCCCAGCTAGAGGAAGCCTGCAGAGGCCTGAAGCTGCCTCACCTCAGAGAACCCACACCCTGCCAGAAGCCTGTTTCTCATCTTTCAGGGTTCTCCAGCTTCACTATGGATTTGCATCCTCAAGCCACAACAGTTGCTGGTCCAGCCTAAAGGCATGAGTCACCCATAATTATCACAGAGACTTAATTATTTATTGATAACTTTCAAACTCTACCGTTAAAAACTTTAATATATGGAGTACTTAAGAGTCAAGAGGTATTGCTATTTCACGTTGCAAACATTTTTCCAGAGGAAGTCTGTTTTCCCCTCCCAACAGCAGGATTTAGAAGATATCCATGGAGGTTTTTCAATATAAGCTGCGGGGTAAGTTCTGGAAAGAACATTTTTAGGATGGGAGAAAACCAGAAGATAGCAACACTATCCAGGGAGTCAAGTATAAATGCTAATTTTTCTAAGGTATAAAATATCACACACAAAATGTAAACAACATATTGCAACTTTATTAGATTTTTCTATTTTATGTTTGGACTCAAGCGAGGTTTTAGTAACCTATAATGATGGTCCTTTAACATCTTTGAGACATCACCATACATAATGTAAAATCCAATTAGGTGACATAAGACCATCAACAAAGAGCAACTGTGAATGTTGCAGCTGGCCACTTAATGCTTTTATAATAATTCAACCATGAAATGTAAAAATTAAGTATTATAAAGAAATGTAAAGGTTTTCAGTTTTATTTTTTATTTTATTTTTTT